AGAAGAGAAGAGAAGAGAAGAAAAAGCTAGTTCGCTTGTCATGAGGAGTGCCTCGATTCTGCTTGGTAAACCCAACCTTGGAGCAACCAGGCACAAAATCTTGGCTTTGTTATCCAATTATGTTGTTGCTTTGCCCTCAGGCAGGAAAGGAAGAAAAGTTATATTAGGAAATTTTTTAGCGCATTGCATCTATATGGAGGATAAATAGTCACAGCAAATTCTATTCAGGTTCATTTTTAAAAGATGAGGGACATCCCTCTATTGTAACAAGACTTCATGGTAGTGGAACATCTTTGAATTGCTTTCCTTGGTTGTTTTTTAGCCAAGGTACTTTTGGTCCTTTGATGAGGCAGTGAATATATTGAAATTGAAGATAGAGGCATGTTAGGGAGCAGTGAGCCTTGACTCTTTCCTAAGGGATGAGGTGTCTGGAGCTGAGGGCAATCACATAGTGAGGTGAACAGGACACACCTGAAGATGTTGGCCAGGCCATCAGGCAAGTCCACAGTGACCAGGCAGCTCCATCATCAAACTGGAAAGTCAGTCCACGTGTCATGGTCTATGTCAAGACAGTCCACATATGGGGCCATGCCTGAAGCTGAGCTGGAGACCAACATTCCTACCATAGCAGCAGGGCTCTGGACTGAGCTAAAGTATAATGAGGTTGAGTGATTGCCCAGTCAGGTCAGGATGGAGTATGACCATGGTAGGGCTGAGATGGGGACTGGATAGGGTAAAGAGACACTGTGGCAGGCTGGTCAGGGCCAGGGAGACCTGTCAGTGCCTTCAGGACCTTGACCAGATGGGTGTGATTGATTGAACCCGGTGGTTGCATGGCTTTTCATTTTCACTAGAACTTGAACAATTTTAATTGCTTCATGGGTATCGATTTACTCAGGGAGACAAGTCGCAGTCTTTTCTATGAGCAATAAACAATGCAATGCAGGTTGCGTTTCCCCTTTCTCAGCTTACGGAAGGTCTACACCACGCCTCATTCCCATTGTATCATTCCAGCAAATGTGGAATAAGGAATGTGGGAACGGACTTGTATCTGAACTGTAACTTACAGGAAGTTACACAGGATGACTGTGATCAAAGAAAAGCGTATGGGTGGCATCTGGAATGGGGTTGTACATGTAAAGGTTACACTTGTAATCTGAGTAAGTCTTTCTTGGGCTCCTCTAATGGGTAAAAGGCAGGAATAAAAGGCGTCTTCAGAGAGTATTTTAGCCTACTCTAAAAGTCCTTTGGTAATTATTTATAATTTTAAAGAAACCATGACACCGTGTAGTATATTCATTTGAAGAACCTGACAACAGAAAAACCTCATTTAGTGGATCTGTCAAGATAAAAAAAAAATAAAAATAAAAAAGCTTAAGTAGTCATTTAAATCCCATTTGGGAAAGGACATATCTTTGATCCAGTTTTAGGTGTACTTTTTGTGAATGCCAGACAAAGCAGTCCAATTTCTGGACTATGTGCATTAGGTCAGCCATGTCCAGCATGCGCTGCACACCACGAGATGGCAGCACCTCCACACAGACCAGAATAGCTTTTCTAGACCCAATTCATGGCAACACCTTTGCTGCTATGCAAAGCAGAGGCCTGCTATGAAGCAAAACATCCCTGAAACATTCGCCTGCACATCTCGTGCCATCAGAAATACATCAGCATCCTTTTCAGAGCCCCTCCAAAAAGGTTTTATACAAGGAGCTATTGTACTCCCTAGGATTATTAACTTCATCACCAGTTTGAATACATGCAGAATAGGTTCGTTCATATAGTCCTCAATTCTAACTTATTACTTACACATCCTGCCCCAAAGGGATGGAAGAGTAAAGGACTTGAAAATGCTGAAAGGAAAAATAAGGATGCATGAAGGGATGCTCTGGACAAGGTTGCTGAGTTAGGTGTCGCTAAGTTTGCAGGAATTCCTGGTCTCACTACATATTTCCTGTTTAATTACTGGTAAGCTCCTTTACTGGCTACAGGGACCAGTAAATGGGGAAATGATGGCAAGCAAAGGTGGTGGGTCCCATCATACCCTGAAATTTTTTTTATGAGTTCAGCTTCCTTAACCAGTTCAACATTTCCAGTTCTCTCACAACTCCTGACAGATGTCTCAGCTTAATTTGCCCATCTACTGTAAGTACATTAATTCAGCTTTCCTGAACTTTCCAGATCTCTTATCTCAAGTTATTTCCATTCATCCTTACTGCTCATCTCACCCAGATCTAATACCTTCCCCCAAAAGTTCTCCTCCAATCTCAGCAACACAACATAAACATCCAGACTGGCATGAAATAAAGAATTAAAAATTTTTTAAAAAAAAAACACAACAGTTATAATTATCTCCTGCATTTTGTATGTGTGCATCATACAAGCGTATCCAAATATTGTGAAAGGCAATAGAAAATATACAGCAGTGAGGATTACATTTATGATGAACAAAGAAGGTGGTAAGGACAGAGAAAAAGACACTAAAGACATTTGAGCCTTTGGAACAGAATGATACCTAATTAAAAAAGAAGTGATCAGAATGATTGGAATGGAAATCTGGATTATTCAGCTTGCTCTAAGAAGACCAGAAGTGAAGCATCTAAGACCACTGAAGAGGTTCTCCCAAAGCCAGGTATATTCTGGTCTGAGTAATTAACCAAGGGCACAGCAAAATGAGGGACTTAAGCATGAGGTTTGTTGTTTGTTTGTCTGGGTTGGTTTGTTTTTAAGCTAGATGGATATTCCAGTTCACAGAACCGCATGGTTGTGCTTGAATGGCCACAGTTTCTAGCAGCAGTTTCAAGTCTGGATTCAGGTTCTCCTGGGAATGGTCCTACCTTGAAAGAAACTATGGCTGTATCTAGCCTGTAACATAAATGCTGTACCCTTTCTGCCCTTTCTTTGCTTTTGGAGAATTTGATGTTAAATCCAAGTCAGCTTTGAATAAAAAGCAAGATCCCTCAGAAAAGGAATGCAGGGACTGGATTGGTTCATTCTGTGGATCATACTCTGCTTTACCAGAGCATACTGCTTTCTTGGTAATTCTGATTCCAGAAACATCTTTCACCTGAGACATGGTTAATTGAGATACAATAGGTAGAACTGAGATAAGAACAGACACAAAGGAAGGCCCCAAAATAGCCCAAAAGCACAACTGAAATGCGATGATCCAGTTGACCTTCAAGATTATGATGGCAGATTGTCTATTCCAGCAAAGCATCTTTCCATGAACAAGAGAAATAGTTCCTTGGCCTAATTTATTCTTTCTTACAACAGATGTGGAATAAAAGCACCAAGTAAATAATAATATCCAGTCTTATTTATGTCAAACTTGAGGTGCCTTGAGACTCCTTTTGAAGGACATTGCTACTGTCTAGGTAGGTGCTTAGCACTTCTTGGTGTGTAATTCACACTAAATTGCCATAAGCTGTCTCAGAACAACTAGTAAAAAAAAAATCACTAATGAGCGTTGTAAACCTTTGCTACTGTATCTAAAAGTAGCTGTTTCAAACAAAAGTTAGGAATAATTCTCTTGTGATTTGGGAAAATCTGGAAAACACTAGTAAAAGTATGATATACATATGCTGAGCCCCAGAGAAATTAGTGTGGTTCCTTGTTTGGGTGGTAAGCTGTTAACGCACAGCAGCTGCAAATTTGGCTTTTCTTTTCAAATTAAGTGGATTTTGTGTGCTTAAGTAGAGAGAAGACCAGGGTTGTGGTACTGATCTGTACAAGGTGAGAAAAGCAGCTCGCATTCAGGACAATGAATTCTCAGAAGTACGCTGACAGTATGAAAATCCATAAGGAATCAAGATTGCCCTTCTCTTAGGTAGTATATTACAATATCACAGCAACTCAGCTTGCTAGATAAGCTCAGACAGAAGTGACACCATTCTGGTATTCAGATATTTTCCTTTTTGGACTGTTTTTTTCAAGCAGTGATAATTGAGTGACGTAGTTGACTGGACTGTTTTCTCTGGACAAAGTCCTGTGTTTGTGTGTGAAGTTAAGGTATTCTTGATACTGCCATTTACACAGTTGTTTCTTGAGCTCACTTTGAACCTACAGAAGAGAAATTTAAGAACAGAATCAGAAAAAAAAAAAAAAAGTTTTCCTGAATTTAGATCAATATGGCCCAGATGCATGGAGCCCCCTAAATCAGCCAGGATTAAGCCTTAATACCTTTTTAGAAGTATGCCCTTATTCGTGCTCCTAAACAAACAGATTGAATTTCGCAAACACAGAGCATAATCCAGAGCTGATGGTAGTTTCTTTCTCTATGGCTCCTGGCCTGCTTTATAAGTATTCCCACTTTTTTGAGTATTTTTTACTTTTCCTCATGCTGAATCTCCTGTACCTCCTTGCTATAGTCTGCTACATGTTATAAATCCTTGTGTGGACCTCTTCACTTTGAATTCAAGTTGAATTCCTCTCTTACAGATTCCTTACTGACTCTGAAAGCGTCTGAATCAACTTGAAAATGTATAACATTTCAGAGATGTCTCAGGAATTCTCAAAAGCAAAAAAAATCTGACATAAAAGATATTGGTCAAGTGATATTTAGGGTGAAGAACCATGGTGAGGAGGTCCCAGAACCACTGTTGGCACTTTTAGGGACAGATTGAGTGGACTAGGGGAACGTAGCTTCTGCCGCCCCAAATGGCAAATGCTTATAACCACATAGCTACTGGCTTCCCTGGTTGGCATTAATATAGCCTTCCTCTGTTAAACCATTGCTGCAGTATCCCAATGAGCTCAGGACCCTTCAACGTTCCTATATGCTTCATCCCACAAAGCAAGATACAGAATACCAGCTCACAATTTAATCCCATACAAACACCATATTCCTGCCAGCAGTACAGTCTCTCATATTGTTATATCTACTTAAAACTGAAGAACACACACGGAAGATAATATGTTTTAAGACTTCAAGGAACCATATGAGACCCAGGGAAGATCCAGGGGCAAGCTGCAAGGATTGGCCAACCTGCTTTAGAAGTAGTTCTTCTTAAGCATGGGCATAAACTAATCGATACCACTTGACCTTGGCCGGAGATCACTTGTCCCTTTTCTAACACTCACTAGATTAGCATGATGCCAGACATGATGTTCAAGCAATTTAAAAGCTGATGGCATGGAGTCTATGCAGACAACAGACAGCTGGAATGTATAGCATCCTATATTTACATTTAATCCTGGAGGCACTCTTTAAGATATTGGCATGGGAGGAACATTAAAATAGCCATTGTGAGTTATTTTTCTAAGTAACAAATGTATTTTAGCCATCACTCATCCTTGGATAGGATTCTTCTCGTTACTTTTAGACTCCCTCTGAGAGGTGTCCGCTTTAAGCTAGTCACCTAAGCACACACTACAGCCAATGGAGTGAGAAACATCTTCAGGTCTCGTTCCTCCCAACTAACCTATGCACTTTCTGAGGCTGAGATGAATCACTTCATGATGGGGTTTTTCTGTCTTCTCTTGGCATTTGTTTAATTCTGCTCTTTTGGAGAAAGTGCAAACAAATTCTGGCTATCCATACAGTGTTTACACGTGGAAATCCAGATAACTCTCCTCCTTTTCAAAGGAAGCTTTTAGTTTTTAAAATGGTAGGTACCCTAAAATGTACTGTAGGGACTTTATCTGAGAGCTTTAATAATGTCACAAAAACTAGAAAGAGAAGAATTTATGACAAGACTACTAAAAACACAAGCTGCCTGGGAGAAGAAAGGAAAAGGAAACAGAAAGGCAAAGGATAGAAACTTGCTACGAAACAATAAAAGGAAAGAAAGCACAGACTGGTAAAGATTTCTATTGAGACATCATGATGATACCTATCAGACATAAAGCAGAAAGAACATCCCTTGATAGCTAAGTCAGCAACCCCTTGTAAAGGGTCACCGATTCAAAGTTTATTTTTTGCCCTCTGGTTGGAATTATATTAATATAGATAAAGTCAGAAAAGGTACTGGAGAAAAAAAAAATAAAAAAGGAGATGTGTATTTCATGCTTTCTGGAGCACATCAAAGCACACACTCACACAAAAAGAAAAAAGAAAAAAAAAGAAAAAGGAAAAACAAAGGAAGTTTCAAAGGTTTTGATGCACTTGACACTCACCTCTGCATTTGAGAAGCAATACAGGAGAGCAACAACAAAGCCCTAGGATAGGGAGGGGAAGGGAGAAAAAAAATTCGGAAGTCAGAATTTGAAACAGAGAATCAGGGGCAGACATTAGCTTTCGTTCATAATTTGTTTAACACAGCAAATGCATAGATGTGTGTGAACACATATACATATGTGTGTATTTGTATACATACACACACATGTATATTTCTAAATATATATAAGTATTTATATATATATGTATCTAACTTCTGCTCCAGTGGGATTTAGGTGATGCAGCACGACTTATTGGGTTTCAACATGTGGATGAAACTTGTCCTCCATGGGCTGGTTGTATATACTTCTGTTCTCTTATGGAGATATTTGTCTTTAACTCATTGTTTACCATATCCTCTTCTTTAGGTATAGAAGTAATGCCCTCTATCTTATTCTAGACTAGTGGTTGTGGGCCTGTTGTTGGATTGCATCTTTAATGCTAAATTATCCTTTTTCATTTAAAAGAGACTATCTGTGTTCAGAGAATCTATTGGGAATGTTATTTGGTTTTTACATCCAGAATTACCATCAGGGAGAGTGTTAACCAGCCCAGATGCAAATTACTTCATAGACTGTGGGCAATTACTGGACAGTGCTAGGCTGCAGCATATTCCACCGTCTATCACTGCATCTCTGTTGTATGTGTTAGAAAACTGAACAAGACTCAGCCCTGAGCACTGGCCCACGATTCTTCATGTTGCACGAGCATGGTCTATGGTAGAGCTTTGGCTCAGGCCAATACAGTGTCCAATCATGTCTGAGAGGTAAGCAGGGAAAAGGGTTCATTTTCAACATGTATGAACATGGATATTGTTGCAAGGTAAAGGGAAAAGGAGAAGGAAAAAGACCTTAGCTATTTGTTGCAACTTGTGCCCAGGGAATGGCCTCTGGCCCTCCCAAATCCGAGATACTGCTCTGAACAGTGATAAAAGAAAGAGAAACAAAAAACAGCAACAAAAAAATTAGGAACTCCTAACAGCTGAAGGATTATAATTATTTCTCCATTCCTCTTATGTCTGCTTTTATTTTGTCCAGAATTACTTTCAATCAGCTCACTTTAATCCACATCTTTGTCTTCATGGCATCGTGTAAGGCACCCAATCATTACTGTTCAATAAGGTAGATGTATTCTTTTGTGATTAGTAATAGGCTGTCTGAGTCAGAACTTATAAGTAGGATGAGACTTTAAATAATAATGAGAAGGAAGCAAATAAGAGAAAGATCTTGTGAAAGAGTAAGATGAATGTGTGTGTTGAATTTAAGCATGTTATTAACACCTGATCTAATATCTAGTGTGAAATATAAAACTGCTCAGTGCAGTGTTTCAGTCCAAGCCCCTTAAGACTGATAAATTTTTGTCCAGCTTACCTGAAAGGAACCCAAGCCCAGCTCAATATAAAGTCGAGCTTCCAGACCAGTGCTTTCTGGGAAAAATGCAAATACAATATAATGCACTCCAAAGAGAGGGATCAAGAGTAATGTGGATTTAGCAAGTCTCCTGGGAAAACAAGAACAGAATAACAAGGCGCTGTTAGCAGCATGTAATTAGTGATAGCAATATGCTATAGAGGGTCAACTTCAGAGTACAGGCAACTGTGTTCAAAGAAAAATTACTTTCTGCCACTTCTGCTGTCAACATCTCATGAACAAAGATAAATAACAAATATCTTCAGTGATTCTACCCCCTGCTAAATATGTAAATGTGGAGACAGCCAGCTAAGTGCTCTGATTTGTCCTTCTGAGAATAATTTCAGTCAGAGTGAGGTATCTAAGTGTCTAAGCTTCAACATCTGTCCATGACTACCCAACTTTTAACCATCCATGGGACTAGACATGGGTTTCAGCACCATTTAAGATGTCCTAGGCTTGGTCTTCAGGTCACTCCAGATGGTCGCAATATTCCTGTAGTCTGTATCATGACTAACAGGCATTCATGGATGTCTTACTAAAAGTGAAATTTTTCACTAGAGTCCTCTGACTCTGTTAACGATCACATTGAATGTGCTGGAAACAGCAAACAGCAAGGACTAGATTCAGTTATCAGACTATCGGCATCATGCTACGGCTAAGAATTTAGAACATCTGTGTCTATCTTTTTGTAGCCATTTGTTTGGAAAGGTCTGAAAGCAGGATGTATACATTGCTTGAATACACCTACCATTTAGTTTTCCAAACTGGGTCATGTGGAGCCTTAATATTTAATTAGACTTCTGATTTTCCCTCTTTTTCCCTCCCTCTTCTGCTTCTCCCAAGAAGAAAAAAAAAAAAAAAAGGTGTGTGCTACCTAGGATGAAAAGGGAAGTCTATTTTTTACTTTTCTGGGAACTTCTCTTTCCACTAGTGTGGATGAGAACATTTTGTGCTCATTCCCATAAAACATCTCTTAGAGCAGCTAAAACAGGTCATCAAGAGACCCAGCAATACTTACACAAAGTGGCTTGAATGGCTTCCTCCTCCCTCTTGAGATTTCAATTTATGGACTAGAATTCTGATCACATTAATAAATATAATAAAGTTAATCTGAAAAGACAAGACAAGACCTGTAAAACTGTTACAACACGAGAACACATCCTCAGCTGGAACAAATTGTATTAAAAAACACAGTCACAGGAATTGCACTAATACAAATCAGTGAAGATCTGACCTCAGATCATGTCAACAGCATTCAAAATATGATTATTTTTCCCCATCAAAACCAGTTATATACAAATATTTGATCAATAAAAACATATGATTTGCCCTTCAGACTGTGATTTAAAGTGTAAAGGGCAGAGAGGGGCGGTTCAGGAGGAGGAAGCTGTACAATAGTTTCCAGCCTTTTACAATGCAAAACAAATCAAACATAGCACATGAAAATATATATTATTTTCCCCACTATACGGGAAAGAGACACGTATTTAGCTTTATAATTTCAAAAATGCTCAAGATAACATGCCAAAACATACTAATACGGTTAGCAGAATGGGGCCTTTGATGATCCATAGCACTAATCCATTTTCATCATCATCCCAACATCTGAAAAAGCAAACAAAGACAGTCAAGTTCTCTCTCCCAAGTAATCTTTTTGCAACATATGAAACTGTTTCTGTCTCAGGATAGGAAAATGATTGACATTAAGTTTTCAAAGCTTCTCCCAGTCCTCCTACCCCCATACCTCCCCAAAACGTTTCTGTACAATCCAGTTAAAAGGAGAAATATTCATCAAGAGGCAAGGGCTGAGAAACCAAAGCCACGTCACAGCATACATTGTTGTATTTTCAGGCTTCCTTCCTACTCTCCTACTGAAAAGGTGATTATTTTACAGGGTACAGGTCAGAGATTGGGCTACTGTGCAGCCAGGAATGCAACGTTTTATGGTTTGTAAGGTAGGAGGTAAGAGAAGTCCAAACCCCTAGTAAGGGTACCATGAAGAGAGAGGGCAGATAGGGCTTTTGGTCCCTCTGGCTGTTTGCACATTTAACACTATTTTAACATTCCATTTTTTCCTTCTTTCAGTTGACTGCCTACATTTCATAAAAAAACAGAATCATAATGGAAGGAAAAGACCTTCAAGATCATCAAGTGAAAACCATTAATTTTCTTTGCGGTCAAAGTAGATAACACAGCAGAGAAGCCTGTAATATCTTGCATGTCATCTTAAAGTGGACATCTAAAATCTATAAGAAAAACAATGCCCTAAGAAATCCTATTTCTTTCTATGAACCAGAAAGGCAGGGCATGATGACTAGATCAAATACAGACATCTAGGACTCACTTTGGTTTTTCACACATAGCCATCAGAAGGCATTGGCTAAACTCTAGTTCATCCCACCCGTTTTTCATCTACTGCTACAGAAGGGCACAAGCTCACAGAAACTGTGCATTAGTCACATGTCTTGAGCATCTTAGGTGAGTCTCAAACTACCTGCCTATGAGTAACTATAGATAGACGCAGTATCTATGAGTATAGATACTATGTCTATGAGTATAACCCCTACATTATAGTGTGATTAGAATCCCATTTCTTATTTGCAGGCTACAGTTAGGCACTTTGCTGGAAGAGCACCTAAAGTTCAGACACTAAAGTCTTCAGTCCCTTCTTTAAGCCTGTGAGAACTTGTCTCTGAACTCTTGCTCATTCTCTCCATCTTTTGTTCTTTTGCTGAAGTCTCTTCACAATTAAGTATCCTGTGCTATATTATTCCACTACTGATTCAACAAATTTGCCCATTATCTGGCTTCTTTTTTTTTTTTTTTCCTTCCCCTCCCTTCCCCCTTTTATTTATTTATTTATTCTCTTGAAAGAGGAGTAGCAGAACAGGACAAGAATTAAAATCTTCTTCGATCTTTTCTGGATTAGAGAAGGGATGTGGAAAGAGTCCATTTATGAACGATTAAAATGGAGAACTGATCTGCTGCTGAAAGTGAAGTAATATAAAGAAAGGGAAACAGGATATGCCAAAGGGGGTGGACTACAGGTCTTTCCGTTTCTACGTCATGATCATCCAGCCTCCTGAGCAGGTAGGTATGAAACAGCATCTCTTCCAATTGATCATCCATATAAATGATCTAAAAGCCCTCAGGGTATCTCCTCTTAGTAAGTGAGCTTCCACTTTATACCTGGCTCACATATTAAAAGATATAAAACAGACTGGAAGAACTGAATGGAATCAAAAGAATGAACTGCCTACCAAAACAATATAAGGTTGTTGTGGAGAAATTTGAAGAGATTAAGATGAGAATTTTATAGCTGTTTTTAAAGAGAAGCAGTGATTAAAAAAAAAAAAAAAACAGCTTTTGCAAGTTCTGACTGTTAAGAAAATAAACACAATATTCATGCTTGCAATGGCATTCACAGGCTTTAGTAGTGTCCCTATATATATCAAAATCAGAACACTGCAAGTTGTTTTCTCATGTATTTTCTTTCAAAATGTAAATATTAGAGATACAATTTGGGGGAGGGGGGTATGTTTCTGCTTATCTGCTGTTAATCTCTAATGTTTCAGTGCTAGCAAATCAAAAGGCAATACAAAAAAGGCTGCCTTCACATTCCTTACCCAAACTGTAACTCACCCTGTGTTCTGGTGATGGATTCTTGTGAGGACCCAAGCAGATACCACCAGAGTGGGAGCTCCTGGACAAATCAACATGGAACAGAATTTAATATTTTTTTGCTTACCATAACCCATGGAAACTTTATTGTAATAATCTTCACAGCACAAACACGTTAGAATCCAGGCAATGTACCAGACAATCTTGCAATGACTTTATGCCCGCCCAGAAGAATTAAATAAAAATAAGGGAGAATAGGGAGATACTTTGGAACTACATTTTTGAAAACAACATCTGAGTATTAGTGGAAGGTTTGCATAGGAATTATGAGTACTTGTAAAGTTTGAGGGATCACCTATTTAACTAGAGCTATATTGTCCCGTGAATTATGGCCAGCACACAGCCCTCTATAGAAGAGCTATTGAAGGAGATGAGGACTACTACATTCTTAAACTGAGGTGTTTTCTTTATTATGTGAACTTAGTTGTGATTAACCAAGTCCTAAGCCTCTCATTACAGGCAGTCGGAATTGGCATAGCTCTAAAATAAAAGCCCCTTTTGAAAATCCATCTTTTTTTTTTTTTTAATTTAGATACCTAAGTCAAATTTAAAAATCTGAAGACGAAGACAAAATTTTCGTTCATCTCAGAAGAATTTGGCTTTCAACCCTAAGCCAAAAACGTCATGTATCCACTCTTTTTGGGTGTCCGGTCTATAGAATGATCAAGGTGATGTATAAGAACATCTAGAGCTACAATAAAAAAATCTCTGCAGTGGAATAAATACTATTTTTCTACTATTTTTGTGTGTGTTTACTCTGACAATTTGACAATTCTGACCATTTTAATTGCTATATAAATCCAAAAGATACTTTAAAGTCAGATTTATGCAAAAACTATATATATATTTTTTGCTTCCTGTACCTGAATTCACTCAAACTAAAATAAATATATGGAATTTTGACTACTAAAAGCAAAATGACAACTTTAAATCACCTAAACTTCTTTAGTCAGTGGAGGAAGAATACATGTGTCCACATGCAGCCACATTAGTCATATGTTTGAGAACTGGATTAATTACTACCATGGTGTGCCTACCTAACTCTACTGACTACAGGAGAAACTGGGATTGAGAGTTTAGATTAGATGACTTTTGAATGACAGTAGCTGCATGAAAATAATGCCAGCCACAAGGATGAATGCTGCAATTTTTCAAGCAGACACACTGTGCTTCTCGAAATCCATTATAATCTCTCCTTCAAAGCTTAAAAATATGAAATGCTTAAGAAAATAAAAAGAAAGGCAGAATTACACTGTGGTTTTGATGTGGCACTACAGCACTGAAAGAAATCCCTTCAGAACAAATACTTTATCTAGTTCTAAAGTGAATGGAAACACTAAACAACACAGAAAGGAAAAGAATACTAACCCCAGCCAGCAAATATGAACCACCATACATACTGCTTATCAGAAACAAAGGTCAGCAAAAGCAGTGTTTGCAGGTATATGCCTTCTATCAGAAGCCAGAAGAAGTTGGCTAAAATGCTGAACTGAAAGAATGCCAGAGCAGCCTTACAAGTAACCTGGAAATGGGGAGGAAGAACAAAACATCACATCTTCTTTCATTGGTTTTCATCGGCTAAGGATTTGCTTTTCCTCTTTTTTTTTTTTGTTCTCTTACAAGTGTAAGCAAAATTCATTCTTGCTACATAAAAATGAAAGAAGAAACATAAGGTTTCAATAAGTTTGATATTGCATTATTTCAGCTGACTTCATTATTTTGAAAGGGAAAGCCTGGCACTCCATTACAGGTTAAATTTTTTAGTGGTAAAAGTGGATATAGCTCCACTAGAGTCAACAGAGCTGTACCTCATATACCAGAGTTAAATGTACCCATAGGTTGGTTTGTGTAGCTTATTGTATGGGTTATTTATATTATGATTTCAGTTCTTGCAAGCTAAAAAAAAAGATTGTGATAAAGAAATTTTCATATTTCCTTCACAACAAATGTTAAACATTAAATCAAAGAAAGAGAGGAGCAGATTAATACCGTTGACATTTGGCAGTGGTCCATGGTTTCATCGGCAAACAAAACAGCATCTTTGGTGAAAACAGCAATTGCTCTCAGGATAAAGGATACAAACAGGTGCATATGGATGTAATTCCGTGTACAGTGGAATTTTCTGACATGGGTAAAAATAAAAATAAAAAAAAAAGAAAAAAAGAAAAATTGTTCTTCAGGAGAAATTTCTTGTGGTTTCAGAAAAACCCAAGTGGGAATATACAGTGACTTCAAACTTTCAAAAGCAAATATATGATCTATCACTACTTGAAAGGGAGCTAGAAACAAGGGATCAGAGCAATCTTGATCTGTTTAGGCTAATAAATAAGTAAATAAATAAAAAGACTTGTATAGTTCTCCTTGAAGCAATTGAAGGAGTTATCATCAGCAAGGAGAAGCCTTGGGTCTCTTAGGCTGTATTGCAATAACACCTTTTAATTATCCTAAATATAAATTTTATAATAAAACAAACAAACAAACAAAAACTGTATCAGGTTCTTCAGGGCCTTTCTGGATAGAGGAGAACTGAGCATTGAATGGGTCTCAGTTCCATGCGAATATCTGCCTTTTCCTAGACTTCCCTGTCTAGACCTTCTGCACTGTCCATCTCCTTCAAGGTTTAGGTAGATAAAGGTATGTCCAGGGTCCATGGAACTGCAGGTTCAAGACTTGAGACATACCGAGTTTCTGCAGCGTGTCTTATGTTAAGTTACCTTATGTTAATGGTGATAACAGCCTGAGGTATTTATATTGCATGGACAGATTGCCTGGTGAGCTTTATTGTTTGAGCATCTGCAAGGGAATGCTAGAAAGTGAGCAGAGAACAACCCATTGCTATCAACAGAATTTAATGTTTCCAAAGGTTTTGGAAATAATTCAAAAACAAAAACACAGAAGACCTGAAAGGAGTAAGTATAAGGCTGTCTTGAGACATCCTGAAAAGAGACCAAATTTTTACCTGAAGGCAGCAAAGACAATTAGAGCTGTAATGAGTGAAGTCACTGATGCTGCATAGCCAGCAGTGTAGACACGCCAAAATGCAGAATAATATGATTTCTATGAGAAAGAGAAAACAAAAAACAGTGCTGGTGGTTATGCAGCATGCATTCTGGTGTGCTTATTTGACTAAGATGAGCCTTCCCTTAATTTGGCATTCCCATCACCTTGCGCTGCTTTGGGTACTTGAGATATGCCTCAAGGTTTTTCCCTTCATCACTTACATATCTCATTTTTTGAATACTGCACAAGCTGAGGCAGTGACTTCTTTAAGTACATCTAAAAGCAAAGTACTAACTTTGTAAGTAACTACTTTTCCCCCAATAGGTGTATAAGGACTCTTGAGCACAGAAGACTTCAAATGGGTGATGTGTGAAGCAGTAACTTGTGGAACAGGGCCAGATTATACTCTATTCAGGACAAAAGGATGGTTCCCATTGAATTGAAAAGTGTTGTTTTTCATAAAGACAAATAGCTGAGCTGCAATAGCTAGTAGAGAAATAAAACTTGCATTTTGCAGGTGAGAAAAGTAAGACACTGCGAAGAAGTCATTTCACAACATGGAAATGTTAAGACCAAGATAAAAACCTCTCTATCTTTAATGCCTTGTACAAACACAGTAGCTTCATACTTCAATACAGAAATTTTTTCATAATTCCTCTTTTTTTTGGGGGGCATTGAAATTTCTTGTATCCCAAGGAAAATGAAGCATGTTTATATAACTTCAGCTATGCAAATTTTATTCTATTTCACTAGAAGGTCACCTAGTTATTCAAAATCCCAGGAAACCAAATTCTCTGAATCCAGGCAAATTTTCTCCTTGTAAATGCAATGGACAATTTGTTCTCTAATTGATCCAATCTCTGTTTATGCAAAAAGCAGCAACTCTACATTGAGACAACCATTAGCAATTTTAAGTAGACCCATAAATAAATCAGGTAACCCTGACAACCTAAGAATCATCCTAGTGTTTTTGAATTACTCCTGGTGTTTTATACAGTATTTATAAAACAAAGGTGCAAGATAGAAAATACATTGTTCATTTGAAGAAGGAAACATCTGGATGCCTTTTGTATTTTATATCCATGATATACCCCATGGATATATGTGGGATAACAACACAACTATAGTGCAGATAGGAGTTTTGCCATGAAAACTTCCACAATTGTTAAAGGTTCATGCAGTCCCTTGCTTGATTTCAGCCTTGGCCGTGGAGTAATACTATCTCTGTGCACAAGTTACTGACTAATGTGAACCAGGAACTGCTACACAGCATGGAGAACACTGTCCTCATCTGCAGAGTAAGGGAGTTTAGCTAGGTGGATGACAGTCCTGCATGCCAGCTGGCCGCAGGGCTGGAGAACATGCTGTGCTGGAATATACAGCACCTGGAGAGCCTTGTATCGCTTCTGAAGTGGTTGTGCAGTTTCCAGAAATGGTCCGGAGCTGTTTAATGCATTTGCCTTTAAAGCTTCCCTGGAGGGTAAAGAGTTGCAAATACTCTCATTTTACAGGTGGAGAATTGAGCATGTACTGCTTACTAAAGCTGTAGTCAGATTTCTAGATTCATGGAGCTAAATCAATTAAGACAATTGTGTCTACATTTCCTAAACAATTATATACTTGAACTTTTGCACTTGTGCTTTCCTGCTTGGAGAAACAAATGGTTTAGTCCAAATAAAAGACTGCATATCAGTGATATCTAGATAGTATAGGCAATCCACTGAGGGCTTCAGCAAAAGTTTAAGGTCAAGTCTGACATGATAGGGCAGCTGTAATGGAAAGGCAAAATCTATCTTCTAATAGTGCTTGGTATCAATTGGCCCAAGAGGATTAGATGTTGAATGGAAGGATGTCTGTCAAATTACAAAACTCTCCAGCTTTACATGCCTTGCTTTGGTCTGCAGCAAATCACCTTCTTCAACTATGAATTCCAGATACCACAGGGAGTTATATAAGTTAGATTTTTCATTCACAGAGTAGGGGAAGTCAGTTTCTCCTATCCAAATACCACAAGAAGAGGAGAAAGGAGTCATGATATCCCAATGGTCAGTGTCTTAATCTAATGAATACAGAGTGGAGAGGAGGGTATGGAGACACTCTTATTCCCATGTACTGAAACTACCCCGTTTAGCAAACATCTGAACCAGAGGCAGAGGCAGCAAGCACAACTCTATCAACTGTGAGACAGAGGTTACCACTCAGACACTAACTCCACCAGTGCAGTATAAAGTATTCATAGAATTCATAGAATGTTTAAGGTTGGAAGAGACCTCTAGAGATCATCTAGTCCAACCCCTCTGCACACGCAGGGTCACCTAGAGCACGTGACACAGGACTGTGTCCAAGGGGGTTTTGAAGATCTCCAGAGAAGGAGACTCCACAACCTCTCTGGGCAGCCTGTTCCAGTGCTCTGTCACCCTCACTGTTAAGAAATTTTTCCTTAAGTTCATGTG